GACCGACGAATGAGCCAAAAACTACGGATAAAGCCCGGCGGTACTGCTGCGAGGAAAAGTAAAAACTGCCTCCAATGATGCCCTTCCTGATTCCCGTTTTATGTAATTTTTTTACAATTGTAATCACCATTTCTTTATCTACAGGTTGACCGAAGTAAAACACCCAACCGCGAAGGTGAGCCAGCGGAGCCAATGCATCGAAAAATTTCACCGCCGGTAAGCTTCGAGTTTTTGACTTTTTTCGGCCAACCGATGCCCTTTAACGTGTTTTCTCGCAGGGATGGGTACAAAATTGATCAAAAAGGGCCAAAAAGGCCCAACTCGAGGTAAACCAATGCAGCGGGCAGCGGTGCTGTCGCCAGAACACGATGGAGTCGCCGTGCCGGAATTCTAAATTTGGCCAAAAAGATTTTCTAACACTGATTTTGAATTTTTTATGGTATTTCTAAGTATTTGAAGTGTGTTTTAATCTCTGAAAAAAAATTTAGCGAACCCGGGAACTGCTAGTAGGCACAACTGAAAGTCTAACATTTCGGACATCAATTTGAATAAGAATCCCTACCATATTTCTTATTATAGAATTGAAGTTTAATTATAAATAATATGATTTTTGTACAAATTAGAAAGTACCCATAATTAATTACAGGTTATTAAAGGAGACATAACCGATTATTTATTTGTTATGTTTAATTGATTGATTGATTGATTTTACAGTTTGAATGCATGACAATAAACTTGAATTAGTATGATAACTTAATTGTGTTTCCTTGATACATATATTGCATATTTTACGTGATTTACAGTTAAAATTGAAAAAATGAAAAATTAAAGATAAACGAGAGATTGTTTGATTAAGTGAAAGGATAAATAGTAGCCTTACTGGATATCTTGAGAGATGGTGGACGGACTGAGTACATAGGAAACCCTACCGTGAACGTTGTCTCATACCGGATAGGGTATCGAGAATTGGTAATTTGGAGCTCATAACGAACGGTGTATGGGGACAGCTCGTTTCACTCTCATACCGGACAGGGTATTGAGAGATGATATTTCTTAGCGCTCATAGGAGACAAGGTATGAGGACGACCCGTTAGTTGAAAATATTAAAAAATAGTTCACACGTAGTGTGGGGACATCCATATAGACCCCAATGGATACTAGTAGTGATAAATGAGAAAGTTGTTATTCTAACTGATTGAATATGATGTTATAATATTGTTATGTTATTGAGGTTTATAGGTCGGTTTTAAAAATCTTGTTACGGTAAGCATGCGGTAAATAATTTTATTTATGATTAAACGAATTTTACTTAAGTTAAGAGTTCCATTAGTTATTTTTATGATTTCTACCAACCTTCATTTATATGTCGTTGAGTAGCATGATATTCTTACTTGATTAGTATAGCTCACTCTTTCAATTGACCATTTCAAATCAAGAGTTCGATCCACAAGAAGATTTCGAGTAGAACATTCAATTTGTTTACTTTTCATTTATTTTTTTGATTATTAGTTGTTATTTTAAAAAGATCATTCTCGTAACCCTATTAGATATCATGAATTATTGTATAAGAAATATAAACTCTAAAACTATTATTTTGCTTCTGCACTGAATTTATAATTTACTTCATTTCAAGTTCACGGACTATTATAAGTTAAACCTCTTGAAATCTTACACTAATTCGTTTCACTGTTTTAAAATGTAATAATAACTTAAAAAGTTTAGGCAAAAAATATATTCCTCATAGGTCAATTACTCCCAACATTTAGCGCAATTTTAAACATCAAATTCAAACTTGGAAATGTTAAAAGTCGAATTTTTCAATGAACAATCCCATTCTCATAGAATGTAGAAGCATAATTCAGTATCGTGCCAACCGGCTTAGGGATACCATACCATACAGCCACAAATAAGCAAATAAAAAGTCAGACTCAAGATGAGAGTAAGTTGCAACAGAGACAAGAATGAAGAAGGTTATTTTCTGCTCATCAGTTTTGTTTGACTAATCAACTCGTAGAACGAAATCAACATGGTCACAAGATCATGACATGAGTCTGGTTAGGGGGTGATTGTCAATTCTGTAACTCATTAAAAAGTAGCTGATCTAATCCTCAAGGTTTCAGCCTAATTTAAAAGAAATTAATGAAGGAAGAACGAAAGAGAAAGAATAAGTTTGCATTCATCCTCGGAATCCAAATTACGGAAAAATAAAGCACCAAGAAAAATGTACATTACCCAAGAAGTTCTTTCTTTTTTTTTCCCCCTTCAGATTACAGGCACCAAAACCTATATGGAAGC